CAGATTTTCTTAGCCTTAAATTAACCCATCTTCCCTTTGCCTCTGGGCTTTCCCTTTCTCTATTTTTGTATACCTTTCTTTCTTACTCCATTGCTGGTTGTGTAGCTGGGTGACTGGTCCCTGATATCCTCCTCCTTCCCTGGCTCCTTCTTTTTCTATCTATTCTTTCTGCCTGCCAGCCCCACCTATCCTTTCTCCTGCCTTGCTATTGGCCGTTCAGTTCTTTATTAGACCATCAGGTGTTTTAGACAGGCACAGTAACACAGCTTTACAGAGTTAAACAAATGCAACATAAACAAAAGTAACACATCTTAAAATAATATTCTGCAACAGAGTAATGATGCCCAAGGTTCATCTCTTTTGTGCTCATGCACAAAGGGAATCAAATGAGAAAGATCAGAGTATTCACACTCAGGAATCACTTCATTCCTTTGTCGATTTGACCTTGAGCAGAGAGGAGATAAGGGAAATTTCTCTTAAGCATTCTTCCAATGTTCCCAAATTTGATGATAACAGAATAAATGTACCTTGTGTAAAAACTAAAGATCAATCTAGAAGGGAAGTGGTAGCTTATACTGACTGTCAACTTGACAAGGATCTAGAATTACCTAGGACACAGACCCCGGGTGTGTCTCTAGGAACTTTCTAGATTAGGTTAACTGAGGTGAACGAATGTACCCTAAGTCTGAATGCCACCAGCCCAGGGGCTGGGGTCCCAAACTTAATAAAGGAAGGAGCAAGCTAAGCGCCAGCTCTCACTTCACTCTTCTTCCTGCAGGGGTGCGGTGTGATCGTCTGCGTCAAGGTCCTGCTACCGTGACTTCCACCGGGACTGACCTTCACACTGTGAACAAAAATAAACCCTTTGTTCTCTACGCTGATTTTGTCAGGCATTTTGTTGCGGCAATGAGACAAGTAACTAATGGAGAAGAGGCTCACCTGGCTTTCCTGGGGCTCTCAGAGGCAAGAGGAAACCCAAGATTCACTCTTAGTGAAGGCTTCCCACTGCATAACCCTAGGATGTTCAACCATGAACCCAAGGTCATTCAAAGGTCAATGCGCAGCTCTGGATGATAATTGGGAAGAAGATAATTAGTATCAGAAAAGTCTGAAAGAGTGTGGAAGAAAACTTGCCCGAGGATATTACAGCCGATGTAACAGGTAGAAATGTCCCAGTCACTAGACAAACCTACATCAGAAGAAATCAGGCCAAGAGAGACAGCAACCACAACGTGATGGAAGGTGTATTTCACGTGAGCCCTTTATACCTGAGAAAAACTGTTAAAATGTGAGTCATGAGACAAAGATTGAGGGAATTAGTTAAAAAGAGAATAAAAACAAAAAACAACCCAAAGAACCAGAGGGACCAAAGCAATGCAACTAACCACACAAGTCAAATAACAAGAACCAAGGAACAAAGAGCTGCAGACACAGAGACAGGCAGGCAAGGAATAGATGAGAGGGGGTGGGGGTGGGGGGCATGGGAAAGCCAAGAGACCATCAATCGGTGTCCTTGAATGGAAATCCCACAAAGAAGGAAAGAATATATTTAGAGATAAAATTGAAGGAAATGTCTATGAATGAAAGACTCCAAATTGAAACAGATCTAAAAGGCGCTCCGTCTTCTGGAAAATTCTACACAGAGCCGTTGCCATTGCGATATGTCTTGGCTAAGTTAATAAGCAGTAGGGATTAAAGAGGCCATTGTGGAGACTCGGGGGTAAAATAATAGATCAGAGGCTGCCTCCACGTAGGGTAGCGAATGAGAAGAGCCGGGATAACAAAGACTAGACGGTGGCAGAGAGAGAAGGGGTGGGGAGGGAATATGAAACCCTGCAGGGGGTGACAGGACAGATGAAATGTGCCGGGAAGCAGAAGGGCTGTGCCCTGAAAAGAAGCAGGCAGCTCTGGCAGCAGCTATGCAGCGCCCTGGTGGGGGTGGGGAGCAGAAGCCCCATCTACAGGGTTAAAAGAGACCCCGTGTCCTACCTGTGGGACAAGCCAGCAGGTCTCTGTGTCCTGGATCCAGCTGGAGGTTTTGGTGAAATGGTAACTCCTCTGCCATGAAGAGTCAGCAATGAAGAGTGCGTCTCTTTTTTTTTTTTTTGTGGCACGCTCCATGGCTCTGAGCTTGTGACCGGGTGTCCCATTGAGAGGGACCCTATTGTTCAAGGCTGAGCTGCTAGGAAGGCTTGACAAGAGGGGGGGTGACCGAATGAACTAATGAGCTGAGGAGAAGCTGGTGTAGCCCCAGGTGAGGTAACAGCAGCAGACAGGAGGTGACAGAAGGTGCCACGCCAATACACCGAACGGCTCAGACGGAGGGGCCTCAGCTAAGGCAGTGAAGCGTGAGTGGTGTCCCCATTCTCGGTGTTAGCACAGTTAGGGTCAGGGCCTGGGTCCTGACAGCCCCGTAACTGGCCAGGCTTGGCCACCCATCCTCACCAGTCCAGCTAAAGGCACAGTTAATAGTGAAAAGCAATAAAAGAAGGTTTCTTCAGCGTGACCACATTAGAAAACGGAACAAAGAAGCAGTGATCTCCCCCACTACCTCCAAAACCCATCTTCTTAGTCCTAACATGAGGTTTCGGTTAAAATCGTGGAGAAGGATGTGTAGCTAAACAGAAAAGACATGGTCCCACTCACTGCCATGTCTCAGGCCCAATCTCTCTACAGGTGGCTGAACAAGTCAGAACTATGTGGAATCTCTTTCTGGGAGACAAACTTCTCCTCGGGCAGACAACAGGCTTCCGTCTTTTCCTATTTCCAGCATGAGCTTCTGTGGGAAATTTTGATTCCCTAGGGTGCTTCACATCAGTAAGCTGTAGCCAAAGGACAAGTGTCTCTACAAGGATCATTCCCAAATGGACAGTCACAGTACCTCCATCAATGTGTTTGGTGTCGATCAGGTTTTAAAGACTTAGTTTGATGCATAGTATTGTTTTAAATTATGTGTAAATATATGTAACTCTGTGCGGGTATATGCATGTGAATGTAGATGCACACAGAGGCCAGATCCCCTGGAGTCAAGATAGCAGGCAGTTGGGAGCTGCCCAGCATGGACACTAGAAGCTGAACTCCAGTTCTCTGCAAAGGCCTTGTGCGTTTCGCCACTGAGCCACCTCCAGTGCCTGACCAGGTTTTGAAAGCTTAGCAACTGGAACAGCTGCACAGATCTCGGGGGCTGTCGGAATTCGTTTCCCCCTCACCCAGCACACTTGGGAGACATCCTCCGGTTAGAATGTTAACCGCATCAGAGTGTACCAACTGCAGAGACTCAGGCGCGTGGGAGAACCCACCCAGCCCACAGACTACAAAGTTAAATAGGACCTGAAGGGGCTCCTGACTTGTGGAGAACTTGTCCAGCGTAAACCCAGCTCCAAAATAAATGGAAGACCTTTGAAGTCACTGATCAGCTTTAGGAGTAAGACCACCCCACCCACACCCGGTGAAGGCCCCAAGGAGCCCATCCTAGCATTTTGCATGTTTTTTTCCTCTTTGCGTTTCCTCTTTTATTTGCTTACTGTACTTAGCAGCATTCTCACCTTATTTTTACAAAACTAAAGCTTTATTCTTAATCATAATTAACTTTGCTTATGCATAAAGTTTTTTCTTTCTCTGCTTTTGTCGTTTTTGTTTTTCGAAACAGGGTTTCTCTGTACAACAGCTCTGGCTGTCCTGGAACTCGTTCTGTAGACCAGGCTGGCCTCAAACTCACAGAGATCCCCCTGCCTCTGCTTTCCAAGTTCTATGATCAAAGGTGTGCGCCACCATGCCTGGCATAAAGGTGTTTCTTTACCTCAAATTGAGATTCTTTTTTTTAATCACTTTCTCTACTCCTTTCTTCTTCCTAGAATTATTCTCTGTTGTTCCTTTTTCTTCCTTTGATTTAAACTTTTTTCTCCTTTCTTTCCCCTCCCCCCATACCCTCCTTTTTTTTAAAAAAAATCATTTATTATTTCTACATTTATGCTGAATAACTTTTTAGTTCACCGCATCCTTTGCATTAGTTCGGTCATTTTCTGTTCTATAGTCATTAGTGGTTTAGTAATCAAGCGTATTTATTGTTTTACTGAAAAACTTTTTTATACACTATGTTTTGATCATGTTTCCCCTCCCCAAATTCTTTCTATATCCTCCCCTCCCACACCTACCTAACTTCATGTTTTCTCTTTTCCTCCTTTTCAAACAAACAAACAAAAAGCAAGAAATACAAACCCACAAAAACGAAAAGCAAAATGAATAAGCAAAACACCAGTAAGACAAAAAAAAATGCAAAATAGCACAAAAAGTTCACCAAAATACCATTGAGTTCCTTTTGTGTTGGTGAACTGTTGCTAGTCATGGGGCCTGCCCTGAAGTGTGGTGAATATACCCAGTGAAACTCCACTGGAGAAAAATAAATTTTCACTTACAAGCAGGTATCAGATGCAGATAGTTCATTAGTGAGTGGTGGGGGCTCATGTCCATTTCCCTTTCTCAGAACTGAGAGCCCGTCTGCCTTGAACCTATGTAGGCCCTGTGTGTGCTACCACAGTCTCTGTTCATATGTGAGTTCGTATGTGTGTTAGTCCTGTTGTATCTGGAAGACTCTCTTTCTTTGGGTCATTCACCACTTCCGGCTTGTACACTCTTTCTGCCACCTCCTTTATCACACAGCTCTCAAGCCCTAAGGGGAGGGGTATAAGGAAGACATCCCATTTAGGACTGGGTACTGGTGAAATTATTAAGGCCACTCCACGCAGTTAAAAGGAAAGTTTATTAGTGGCACAACTTACACATGAAGGGACAGGTAGGTCGCGGGGTCTGGGGAAGGTGTATTGCGGTCCAGCGGTGTTCTCTGGAGCTCTGCTCGGTCAATCTCCACCATCCAGGGCCCAGGAACAAGAGAGAGCAGCACAATCTCAGGTCTTCAGGGCCCTCCCTTGGCCCTGCCTTATAGGGGCCAAAGCCTCAATGGGGGTTGGAACTTCCAGACCAAAGCTGGAATGGCTACCCACTACAACTGGGTACTCTGAAGTCTTTCACTCTCTGCACATTGTCCAGATGTGGGTCTCTGTGTTAGCTCCTACCTACAGCAGGAAGAAGCTTCTCTGATGATGGCTGAGCAAGACACTGCTCTATGGGTATAGCAGAATGCCATTAGAGTCATTTTATTGCTATGTTCCTTTAATAGTACATAACATTTGGTTTTCCCCCTAGACCCATGTCCTGTCCAGTCTCATGTTTTGGGCTACCTCAGGCATGGGTTCCATTTCATGGAGTAGACTAATATAATTAAATCACTACCAATCCACGGAGATAACAATGATTACAGGAATTAATTGGGGGGTTAACTCATGATACAGGAAACTCACAATACAGGAAATAAGGATTGTAGCAGGGTCCCGGGGAGATGAGGCACAGTCCAGCACTGTTCTCTGGAGAGCTCTGCCCTGATCTGCATCACCATCCAACATCCACGAGGAAGAAGAAGGGCCAGTGCCTACGAGCATCTCTGGTCTTAAAGATTCCCTGGGCGGCCACGCTCCAGGGGGGCAGGTACCTAATAGCTACCTGCTACTTCGCTAGGGGCATGGCTTCAGGGCATGGCACAAACAGCCACTCACTGTAGTGGACCTTAAATCCAATCAGACGGGGATGGAGTATTCCCACAACTTTCATACCACCATTGCACCGGTGTATTATGCAGACAGGTCACCATTGTAGTTCTCAGGGGGCATAGTTGGGTGGATGCTTACTTTTCTCTTCATAGCATGCAGAGTACCTTCCAGTACTATGAATGATAGTCAGTAGGGGTGAAGGCTCTAGGTAGGCACTAGCTCAACTTCAAGGAGGCGTATTTGAGAGAGGAATGGGAACATGAATAATGATCTAAATACAAGGATACACATGCAAGAAATGTCACAGTGAAACCCATTCTTTTACACTAACTAAAAGAGATTAACAACAACAAAAATAATAAGGACATTGTAATGGTTGTTTTGGTTGTCAGCTTGACAACATCTGGAATTAACTAAGACCCCATAATGGCTGGGCGCACCTGGGAGAGATTTTTGCTTAATTAAGTAAGTTGAAGTGGGAAGATCTACTCCTAATCCAGATCTTTGAGGTGAGAAGTTATACCTTTAATCCAGATCTTTTGACAGGGGAAGACCCACCTCTAATCTGGGCCACATCTTCTACTGTCAGCCTATATAAAGGACATAGAAGAAGGAAGCTTTCACTCATTTTCTGCTTGCTCTCACCTTGCTAGTACATTCATTCCTCTACTGGCACTAGAGTCTACTTCTTTGGGGTTACAGCATATATTGAAACTGATCCAGCTGTGAAGTGAACAATTACTAGATTCTTAGAACTTCTGCTTATAGGCATCCATTATTGGACTAGCTGGACCACAGCCTGTAAATCATTCTAATATATCCCCCTTCTATATATATAGAGATATTCATTCTGTAAGTTCTGTTACTCTAGAGAACCCTGACTAATACAGACATTTTTGTGTTATGGTGTATAAACCAAGGGAGGGGCATGGCCAAGAGAGAGGATGAGTCATGCAAACTAGTCTCAGACTCCTGCATAACGACATCTAATGCTAGGATACAATGGCACTGAGAGAAATTGTTATAACAACAAAATGATACCCAAGAACATTACAGACAGCCAAACTGACATCCAGGAATAATAACAATAAACACATTAAAAAACAAAACAAAACAAAAAGGCCTATAATGGCTGAGGATTGGGCTAGTTGATAAAATACTTGCCATACAAGTGTCAGGAGAGACCTTAGTTTGAACCCCTAGGACCCAAAAAAGACAGAGAGAAAGAGAGAGAGAGAGAGAGAGAGAGAGAGAGAGAGAGAGAGAGAGAGAGAGAGAGAGAGAAAGCTGTTTCAAACAAACTGAAAGGTAAAGGCTGCCACCTGAAATTGTGAGAATGTCTTCTGACCTCCACATGCATGCATTCCATGATGTGGGTACACCAGCAATCAAACATGCACACACACACACACACACACACACACACACACACACACACACACACACACACATACACAAGATGGGAAAGGCTATAACCATAAGAGATTGTAGAAGAAAAATGTCTTCCCACTAGCACACAGTGG